TTTTTATAAAAAAATATTAAAAGGGTTTTTCACATGTTTTCCTTTTAACAAAAAATCCAATGGTCCTAAAAGTTTTTTCCCCCCCCCCCCTTTTTATTTAATTTTTAAAAAAACCTCAAAATTTTTCTTTTCCCCAAAAGCCCCCCAAGATCTTTTTTTTTTTTTTTTAAAAAGAGAATTGGGTAATTGGGGGTGGGAAAGTTGGGGATTGAAATTGGGCCAGGGTTTTAGGAAAAGTTTTTTCCACCCGGGGTTTTTTTTTCCCCTTTTTAACAAAAAAAAAAAAAGAAATTGTGTTAAAAAAAAATTTTTTAAAAAAAAAATTTGGAAAAAAAAAAAAAAAAAAAAAAAAAAAAAAAAAAAAAAATTAAATTTTTATTTTTTTTATTTTAAAATTTAATTTTTTTTTTTTAAAATTTTATACAAAATTAAATTAAATTTGATTTAAAAAAATATCTGATAAAATTTGATTTTGGTGGGATTTTACTATTTTTTAAATTAAAATTTTTTATCCGAAATAAATCTAGTTTCTAATTTTAATAATTTTTATTTTTTTATTATAATTGTTTTATATTTTTATTATAATTAATTAATTTTGTTTATAAAAATATTGATTGGTCTATTTGTGCCTGGATCTTAATAAAAGAAGATTGATAAGCTTCAATTGTGTTGACTCTAAGTTTCATCCAGAGTCATAACCAACATTATTTAACGAATTAGATTCTACACTACCTTGTTCAGATTCTACACTAATTGAGGTTTATAGAAACCCACACGATTTACCAAACTTCCTTATAAATTATTCCTAAGTTCTTTTTGATGAAAAATGTTATGCATTACAACCACATAATGAAACAATCAACACAAATTTTAAAGAACAGCTACAACCTGGTTCAAAAGATTCTACTCTAAAATTTGATGACAGGCTTTATATTACGACCACATATACTAAAAATACAACAGATATTGCACAACTTGACGAAAAATCTCCAAATTATTTGATTGAGTTGGGGTACAATACTAATATTATATAAAATATAAATAAAGATAACTTTCCTAAGTAATGATATATACAATAATGGAATTTGATTTAATATTTGCCTAACCTGATTTCATTTGAGTTAGTTGGACAATCTCTTACAATAGATTTACCATCACTCGAGCCAACCACTATTTTACCACCATTTGACTGATTACTTAAATTACAATTTGAAATAGGCTTTTAAATACGTTTGGGGAAAAATTACTAAAAATGATTATTGTTTTCAATTGAAGTATGATGAAATTACTGTAATTTGTGATTTTAAAATTTCAGCAGCTGTGATTAAAGTTAAATGGTCAACCCAAGTACCCTTTCTTTCCTTTTGGTATCAAACGTGAAGTCTGAAGGGTCTGTTTCTACATTTTTAATATCCAAGATAAATAAATAAAAAATAAAATTTTTTTTTTTTTTTTTTTTTTTTAAAGTGTAAATTATTCTTACTGATACATTAAGTCATCAATATTTTTTATTGTATTTTTTGTTTTGGTATGAGTTTTAACACAATGCATAAACGTTGGGCACGGTTAATAAAAATACAGCAGTAAACCCATAAAATTGGATATCTATAAGGAATCCCGATTCTGTCTTTTAGTTATAAATATTAAATATTAAATATCTAATATTTTTTATTCCACTTGTAACATAAATTTTAAAAAATAATCATACAATTCAAAAAATGAATTATACAATCTTTTTTTTTTTTTTAAAAAAAAAAACAAAAATATAAGAACTATCGAAATCCTCTAGCCCCACGTAATAGTTCCGGAGGCCTACAGACTAGCTCGTTGATAGATAATAAAAATAAGTAAATTTAAATTATTAAAAAAAATAAAATTAAAAATATTGTGGGATTTTAATTTTTAGTTTAAATTAAAAAAAATTGGAAATTTAAAAAAAATTTTAATAATTTTAATAATTTTAATAATTTTTAAAAAAATTAAATTTTTTTCCTCTTCTATTTAAATAAATTAAAAAAAGTAGTAGTAATTTACCAAGATTCAAATAATAAATTAATTAATATTTCATTTTATTGGACTATTAGTTTCAGATTTAAAGATAGATACCAAATCAAATTTTACCATTCAAAAATAATCAAAGAATATTCACCCTAACAACAAAAAATAATAATTTTCTCCCCTAAACTCAACATCCACAGTATGTAAATAATTATTTATCTAATGATTATTTTTTTATTTTATTATGGTGCAATAATCAAATTCTTCAAGATTAGTTCATTCAATAAAATATATAAAATGTTCAACAAAAAAGAATTAAAATAAAATTTAAAATAAAGAATGCCAAATATTTAGCTTTTCAATGTACATATATATTCCCAAACATTACCAAATACACACCACCATAAAACGGATTTTATAATTAATTTTTAAAGTTAATAAAATGGAACTAATACCATTATTTTATTTTATTTATTTTATTTTATTTTTTTTTTATTTTTTTTTTATACTATTTGTAAAGAGTGTTTCCAGCTCAACCACTGGGAGGTTAGTATATTTGAGCCGACAGCTAACTATTATACCGCCACTCACAGTATAATAATTAGCCCTTGGTTTGGTAATCTCAGAATACAGATTAATATACCAAACCAGCCTTGATACTTCACACTTGAATCCTCATACTTGATTGCCTTGAATTTTCTTGAAAGTTTGGTGAATCTCATAATACAGATACCAAGTGGTCCTACCTGATACCTATACCCATCAATATACCAAACCAGCCTTGATACTTGATATTCTTGAATCTTCATACTTGATAGCCTTGAATCATCTTTATTAAGAAAACATATTTTGGTTGTTTTGATAGGGAGCTATGCATGGTGAACACTTTGTTTAGATCTTTTTCTTGAATCTCATTCTGTAATAATCTTTGCAAAGTTTGATTACCTATAATATTTTTTTTTATTAATTATTATTTTTTAAGCAAAAAAGGTATTAATTTTATGAAAAAGTATATTGCAAATAAATAAAAAAATATTTATAAAATTACAGTATTTGATTAAAAATTTTAAAACTCGTTTACTGTTATTTGTTTTTTTTTTGTTTATTATTAAATGAATAAATAAATAAATAGTTCAAAATAATAATTATAATTAATATCTATGTCATTCACCTGTCAGTTTTTTAAAGAGGTCCACATTCAATAATAAATGATTTGATATATGCCCGGGGATATATCCATTATATTAAGGAAATATGGTTTAAAAAACGGAGGATTACCACGATGCCAAACACTATGTGAATGTTACACCCCTGCTCCCTTACGGGCCATTAATAAGGTTACTTTGACATAAATAAATAAATAATTATTATTATATTGTTTACTATTTATTTACTATTTCATTTATTTATTATTATATTTTAATAATAAATATAATTTATTCTTAGAGTAAATTTAACAGCATCTTCTTCGACGATGACCAATATCAATATCAATATTAATAATGCTAATGTTACCACTGCAATTTAATTAATTTTTTTTTTTTTAAAAATCATTTTTTACAATGAAAAAATCTAATATTATATTTCTTTAAATTTAGTTGCAAAAAACAAATAATCAATTTAATTAATTTTTTTATTATTTTTTTAAAATCATTTTTTTACAATGAAAAAGTTAGTTTAATGTTTTGGGTATCATTTAAAAGAGAATTAAATAAAAAATCGAAATCAAATAAAAAAAATAATCAATCTATAATATAAAAAAAAGATATAAACTAAATTATTGCTTTACAATTATTTTTTTAATTATTTTCTTTATTTTATAAAAAAAATTAAACAATTCTTTCTTTTTAATAAATAAATTTTTTTGAATTTATTTTTTATATTTTAATTTTTTTTTTTTTTTTTTGAATTAAAGAAAATATTTTTTTTTTTTTTCTTTATTATTTTATTCACACAAATAATAGCTTTATTTTTACAATTTTTCAACACAATAATATTTATTTTTTTTATAATTTTAATTAAATAATATTCACACATTTTTCAATATTTTATTTTTTCAACTTTTACTTTCTTTATTATTTTATATATTTATATATTTTATATATATTTATATAAAATCAACCTAAATATGATAGTAAATAAAATTTTATTTCTATCATTTTTAGTTATATTTTTTTTACAAGATTTACCCAAGGTACTAAAATAAACTATAAATTATTAACTAAAAATAGAACTTTTTTAAAAAGTAAATATTGGATAATAAATATTAACCTTAATTTTTTTTATAGATATTCCAAACTCAACTCCAACTTATATTTGGAATCCAAAAGTTGGAAATATATCCATTGTTGATGTCAATTCTAAAGGTGTTATTGCTAATAATAATTGTGCTGGATCTGTTGTCATTGTTCAAGAACCAGACCAAATTGTTTTTTCATCATCTCAAGTAGAGGTCGAAGTTGGTAAAAAGTTAGTACTCTCAACTAAATTATTATCAAAGCATTTACCAAAAGGAGTTTATTTCGAATCTTGCTCAATTAATAATTTAGAATGGAAAGTTAAAGATGATTCCATTTTCAAAATATTACCACATGAAAAGGTCGACCAACAAAAGATATCAAGTGACATATGTTCATCTCGTGAATTTTTGGCTCTAAAAGAAGGCTCAACTGTTATTTCAGTTCAATACAATGGAATGAGAGAAGAAATTCGTATTTTTGCTTCTCCACCAGCTGATCAAATGGAAGTTTTATTAAGTTTAGGTTCATCGGCCGAGGTTTCTTTCTGTGGTGGTAAAGAGACATGGCATTTAGAACCAAAAATTTATTCCAAAACTATCTCATCAGATAATAAAGAACAAAACTCACTCTCAATCACTCCAGGTGATAATAATTCATTCAAAGTCACTTGTCAAAAACAATCAAATGATCCACAAAATGTTATTGTAACTATTAGAAACAAAAAGAGTATTAGCAGCCCATTACCAGAAGCCCATTCAATTAAAATTCCATTCTTTTGCCGTCAACCATCATATATTCATATTCAATTTATAAAATTACCAACTGAAGAAGAAGGTAAACAAAAATCAGGTGAAATCAGTTGTTTAAATATTCATAATAATAGTGATTTACCATTTATTCCTATGAATTCTATTGCTAAATATGAAAAAGGTAGTACCAATTATCCAATTATAGTTGCAGGTTCTATTTTTATTGCCGCCCTTGCTATTGGTCTTTATGTATATAAAAAACATATGTTTATTTATATATCAAATCTAAATTTATCACAAATATCAACCTCTTTATTAGAATCATTCCGATCTCCATTTCCATACTCTTCTTTAGTATCACCAAATAGTTCACTAGTTAGTATTTATCAACAAAAAAATTTAAAAAAAAAAAAAAATTTAAAAAACCAAAAGAAAAATAAAAGAAACAACAAAACTCACTCTTATTATATTTGATTATAATAAAGAAAAATAAAATATTTAATTAAAAAAAAAAAAAATTTATTTATTTGCATATTTTTAATTTTATAATTAAACATAGAACTATTTTATTTATTAATTTTTTTGATTGCAGTACTTTGTGGTTTTCCTAAATATATTTTTAAAAAAAAAAAAAAAAATTTTATTTTTTTTTTTAATTTTTTTTAATTTTTCTTTTTATTTTATTTTTTTCGATCACAACAAACAAACAAACACATAAATAATTTTAATAATGTAAACTATAGCACAACTAATAAATAATAATAATTATAATTAACATTACTAAAATATGTTTAAAACCTTTCGAGAACAAGTAAGTAAATCAACACATTATTTTAAAACAACAACAACAGCAACAAACCTTTATTTATATAGAAAATGGCATTGTTGTAGGAATAGAAACAGAATTACTAATATAAATTAAAATAACTTTTCAAAAGACAGATTTAACAATTAAAACATGCCATTCAATACCCCAACAGGATCTGCTGTCGTCGATATGAATGAAAGGATTTAAATCAATTATATAAAGATTTGGTCTAATAAATCCAATCACGAAATATTGCTTCTATATTATAATAGTCTCAAAACTATATCAAATACTATCATAAAAAGTCACAAAGTCGCAGAAACTCAAATTCTTTCAAAATCTTTCAATCTCGAGTAAATCTGATAAGCAAAATTCAAATCAATTACAAGTTCATGTAAAAATTCAAAAGCGTTAATGGATGTACTGTTCAGCTTTTATAGACAATAGACGCTAGTGCACCGTTATCATGTATGAAAAAAACATTGGCAAAAAAAAGATTAAACTTAGATCCAACTAAACACTAATGAAGATATTCAATCTTATCAACCATTTATATGAATCTCAATACATTTGCCTTGGCCCAAGCAACAGTGATAGAACACAAATAGTTTAGATAAATGAAGTCATCGTTTCAATAAACAAATTCTTTATAGTAACTCCAACTTTCGCTTGCCATACCAATAAATACAAAGTAGGTGATCATATAATAACACAACCACAACAGCAACAAAAACAACCAGAATCAATAGCAGCAAGACCAAGACAATACTCATATAAACTAGGGGTTCGAAAATAGGTATTTTTAGAAAAACAGGGTTTTTTAGTTTTGGGTCTAATAGGCCCTTTTTATAGTCAATTGCATAGTTCCAGGTTATTTTTTTTTTTTTTTAGTTATTTATAGTAAAAAAAAAATTAGAAATAGTTAATAATTTAAAAAGTGTTTAAAAATCAATAAAAAAACCGTTAAATCGTTATCAATTAAAATATCTCCTTTTTTTTTTTAAAAAAAATATTTTTCAAATTTTTTTCAAATTTTTTTCAAATTTTTTTTATAATAATAAAAATAATATCTTTATTGTTATATTAATATACATTAAAATTGTAAAGCGGATTTTTAAAAATATTTTATTACAAAACAGCAGTTGATAATTAATAAAAAAAAAATTTCTATAAAAACTTCATTTTTATTTATTTATCAATATCAAAATTTATTAGTATATATAAAAATATAAGAAATAAATAATTACATTAATAAATAATTACTTTAATAAATAATAAATATATTAAAATTTTTTAATATTAATAACAAAATATAATCAATGGAAGGAACATATAGAAAATCAAAGTCAAGATGAAATTCCTGATCAAATTGGCAAAGAATAGAAAACCAACAAAAGGTCACGATCTATGCAATCAAGACGATATGTTAATCGAAATGAACATAAAAGACAAAAAAGAGACACCTATATATTTCAAAGTATTTAGAAATCCAAAGGTATTTAAAAGAAAGTGTGGACAAAAGAAATGCGTACTTTAAGAGAATGGGCAAAAGTTTCAAGGGTAAATATTGTTAATAATTCTGTCTATAATGAATATAATAATATATCTAAAATTAAATAAAAATAATAAATAAAAAATAACTTAAAAAATTTTTCAATCAATATTTTTTATATGAATTTTTTCAATTTTTCCTCTGTTTTTAGTTTTTTTTTTGATTTTTTATAGCACACATAGTTTTAAAAAAGGTTGAAATAGGTGCGCTGTGGGGGGTGCGGTTGGCAGGACTATTTTTTTTTTTTTAAAAAATCAAACTAACCTATTTTCGAACCCCTAATATAAACGTAGTGCACTAAGACTACCTAAAAAAAAAAATTGTATGTTGTATTTATTTCGACGAAATTGACCCCAATATAATTTGAGAATGTGGATGCATCCTCGAATGATAATTTATCTCAATAAATACTTTAGAGAATAGAAAATTTATGGTTTATTAAAAAAGTAGAAGTTTTTGGAAAAATCAAAACATTAAGAATAAGGCTAAAATTAATCAACAAAGAAGTGCAGCTTTAAATTCTCTTATCAAAAGCATCCAAAAGTTGGAAATACTGATAGTTCAAAATCTATTGCTATGAAATTACCTGGTGTTACTGATTTATTGGTTTAAAATAAAAAAATTATGGAAAATAAGGTTCGATCAAGTGTCAATGTAGTAAAACCTTCCTATATAGTAATCGAAATTGATATTCCATCGGAATTCTTTAAAGTTGTACCTGTAGGCCCCAGTAGAAGTCATACACATCACCTTCATGCAATTAAACAAGGTCCTGTTGGAATAAAGGCTTCTTTACTTAGAGTTTTTTTAAATATTTTCATTAATATCATCATATATTATAAAAAACTCTTTATTAATTCATTTTTTTTAAAATAGGATAATAATTCAAAGAAATATAAATATTTAGAAGACCTAATTACATTCAAAAAAAGGCTTCAATAGAGTCACATGTTTCTTTAATTACATCAATTAAAAAAAAAAAAAAAGAATTTTATAATATTAGTATTAATATTAGTTTAATTTAAAAATAAAAATATAAATAATTTAAAAAAAATAATAAATAAAAAAAAATTATTTATTTTTATACTCTCTTGAGTTCTAAAATTATAGTTTATTTTCTTTTTCAATACCTTCTTTATCTATTCTTTCTCTTTTTTAGGTTGATGCTCTTTTAACCTTGTATAATTGTAAACAGGTGAAACAAATTAGATTTGGTAGAATTATTTTTAAAATTTTCTCTGTAATGACATATTACTATTTTAGCCGAAATAAATTTTTATCCTAAAACAATTAAATGTCTAATGGATTGGCTAATTTGATAGTGGATCGAAAAATCAGGGCATATTTAACTATTAAACTATATACATCCTTTCTTTCATATAAAACTAATTGAGAGTTTATGTGGAAGGATTATACCTGCAGAATATGTACTGATTGCTCTAAATAGTTTTTCTATATCTTTAATATTTGAATACTTGAGACATTTCTTTATTATTCAAGGTAATCTTTGGGTGGTCAGCTCTGTTTGAATGAAACTTATCTAATGTCTCTTGAATATTACCGATATTTAATGTTTTTAAATGTAGTAGTATATAATTTGGTGGTGATTTTAATTCCTCTTTAATTAAATTTCTCATTATTTAAATTTCTATATGATGATGGTGGTGGAAGTGTTATATTACCATTATTAATTAAAAAGCTATTACTTTTTTTATTGTTGCAACCGCTACTACCACTACTCATATTGCTATCATTACTATTACAACTACAACTTGAGCTTCGGGCTAAACTGGTACTATTATTATTTAGATTGCTATATTCACTAATACTATTTAAATTATAGTTACTATTACTATTTTTTAAACTGAATGTTGTAGTTTCTGGTGCTTTTGTTGTTGTATTGTTATTACTTTTACTCTAACTATTTTTTAAACTGAATGCTAATGCTACTGTTGTTGTATAATTATTACTATTACTATTGTTTAAACTGAATGATGATGATTATGAAGCTGATGTTGTGTTATTATTGTTATTGTTATTATTGATATTGATATTATATGGTTCTATGATATTTACTCGATATTTTAATAGTAATTCTAATGATTTAATTGATGATATTGAAAAACTTTTATTATTAATTGTGTAGTTTGGTAAAAATGTTGGTACATTTAATGATATGAAATGATAGGAAATACTCCAATGGTTCTGTAATATCTAAATAGTGTGCACATTCTACTAAATCAAACATGTGTATATGTTCTTTTTTCTTTTCTGTATACTAAAATTATTAAATTTGCATCTCTAAAAAAAAGATTTTTTCATTATATTCATCTGCCTGTATTATAATTAATAATTTAAAGTGTTATTACATATGTTTACTTTATAACAATAATCAATTAGTCTAAATGTTATTACCACTTACTTTTAATTTAATTTCTAATAAATTCCATAAGTCTGATTATAAGTTTGCATTTATAAAGAAGAAAAAATAGGCCAAATATTTATATTATTGATTAAAAACCTTTCATTCATGATATCGACGACAGCAGATACTGTTGGGGTATTGAATGGTTTTTATTAATCTTCCTTTTGAATATTAATAAAAGTTAATTTAATTTATGTTAGTAATTCTGTTTCTATTTTCTATTTTTCTTTAAACGATGCCACTTCCTATGTATATTGGTTTGTTGTTGCTGTTGTTGTTGTTTTAAAATAATTTATTAATTTACTTACTTGTTATCGAAAGTTTTTTGAACATTTTTCAGTAATGTTAAAATTATTATTATTATTTTTATTAAAAATAAAAAAATTAAAAAAAATTAAAAAAATTAAAAAAAAAAAAAATAATTTTAAAAAACTATTTATTTTTAGATTTTTAAAAAAAATATTATATTATTTTAAAAATGGCCGTAACGTGTTGATATTGACTAAAATTGGGGAATACTGTTTAAATCTATTGTTGAACGCTTTATATTTATAATCATTATTTTTTTTAAGAAAAAAGTATTAATTTTAGGAAAAAGTAAATTGTAAATAAAAAAAAATACTTTTTTAATCAAAAACACAATGTGAATATATTACTCTGCTCCCTTATGGGCCATTAATAAAGTATACTATAACATAATTAAAATTATTTATTATAATTTTGTTTACTATTTACTATTTCATAATAAATGGCCACATTTAAAATTAAATTTTTTTTTATTTTTATTTTTATTTTTTTCGATCACAACAAACACACACACACATAAATAATTTTAATAATTATATTATAATCAAATAAATAAAATATAAAAAGATTATAGTTTGTTTTATTTTTTTTGAATTATTTTTTTAATTTTTATTTTTAAAAAAAAAATTTTATTTATTTTATTT